TTGAAGACACTTCAAACATCACTTGTTTCTGAAGCAAAGAAACTGAAATACAATCTTGAGACAAGCACGTCAGCCATCAAAGCTAGAAACAAGAAGGTTGTGTGTAAGACTTTTCACAAAGCTGGAATTGTCGTCCCAGTCATAAATGAAGTTGGGTACCGGCCTCTTACCATGACTGATGGTGAGTTCGAGGTTGTGATATTCTCACTGGCATGTAGAAATTTAACATCTTCATTCTTTGGATGATTTTTATATTGCTTTAATTTTGCACTCAGGTGCATATCCACATACATATTCTTCTGACTGATCTCCATACATTTCCTTTAAGAATTCGTTGAGAGAATTGGATAAAAGATTAAAGCATTTCTCTTGGGTGTTTACTCGCCTTGGAGCAGAGCTTCCTTTTGTCTTCTTTAGCGAGGAGACAAAAAGGAGGCCCTCCCTGAATCGCGTCAAACCTTTAAAGTCGCCACAGCCCAAACTTCTGAACTAGTCAATATTGTTCTCTCTTGTCAAACTGTTTTTTTTTTAGTGCGAGCATTCGTTTATTGATAAACCAATGGTCATAAGCGAGCCCACTGTACCAAATGCACAGCGATTAGCCCTGGGTTCGAAACTGTATCCTAGCAACTTTCCCTGCACGCTCAACAAAGATCTTACTCGATTCATGCAGAATCTTTCTCGAATACGCTAAAATCAAGCAATCAAAAGAAGAAAGGCTCTGCCCTGCTGGCAAGGTGGTGTTCAGTTTATTAATTCTTTAGGTCCAAGAGTGACCAACATCAGTTTTCTCCTAACAACATCAGCAGATCATCAAGAGTAAAGGTTATGAGAATTACTTAATTGATTACCAAAGGGAGCATACTTTGATCTTAAGCCAAATTCTCTCAACTACTCTTAAAAGAAATGTATGGAGATAAGTCTGGAGAATTTGAATGTGGATCATGGGCCTTAAAGGGTTAATTATTGTAACTTGTTACAAGAAAACTGTTGTTGGGATCTAAAGATAGGAATATTAAGGATACGAGAAAAAATCATTCACTGTTGAATCCTGTATTTGATTGTTTCTTAAATTTTATTAAATTGTAGGTGAACTGAGGAAAATCCTGAAGCAAATAACAGAAGGTAAGAATGAGAAAGATCAAGAAAAGGCATCTGAGGATCTCCAGGAGATAATGACCCTGGTTCAGTTTGCTAATGATGAGTGTGATTATGGAATGGGACTTGAGTTAGGATTGGATCTGTTCTGTTTTGGAAGCGAGCGTTTTCATAATGCCATTCTTCAACTTATGCCACTTGCCTACAGGCTTCTTAGCAGGGACACATTTGCAGAGATTGTAGAAGTTCATATAAATAACCGAACTAGGGCTTCGCTGAGCCAGTTCCCATCTTAATATGACAAAAAATTAACACAGTGTAGTCAGACGTCTTATTGAAGTGCTCTTACGAAAGACTTTGACAGGAAGGCCAGTTGACAACAATGTTTATCTTAAAACCAAATGCACATCTTCTGTGGGTAGATATTAGTCTTTTTATGTCAGGTAACAAGCTGGTCTCAACTATTTTCCTCACTTTTGTTGGCTGCATAGAATTGACAAGTCTTTTGTACAACTTGTCACTGATTTAGGCAAGTTTTGAGACCCAAGTAGAAAGAGTAGTGAAGACTAACTGGAAATGAGTTTCCTTCTAATGCGCATGCTTCCAAGCGTGGCCTGATGAGCTGCTGTAATAGTTGTACCCCTCAAAAGGAATGAAGGGTTGTTGACGCACTTGAGTTCGAGAGTGGTGGTTATTTAATTGGTTGTCGAGCACTTTTTGACTGTTTTGTTATCATTTTTGGTTACCTAAGCGAAAAATATTGTGTTCTTAAAATTGTTGTAGGAAGTTGCGTGTCAAAAAAATTCACCACGAGCTGTGGCGCTCGGGGCGCTCATTGGAGTAAATATCGTATCTTTTTGTTAGTATTTACCTGGTGCGGTCATCATAGAACTGTAGGGGAATAATGTGCTTAACGTTTTCAGCCCCCTAAACCCCCTTTCCTTTGAAACTATTTCCACTGGACTAATCCAAGACTGTTTGAGACTTGTCATCTATGCTTCTTTTCATTTCTGGTGTAAATACAGCCTTATAGCAAACTTCTTTTTTCCTCTTTGCTGGACTTTCACGAGACCATAATCCTATAGCAACATTTTTTGCCTAAAACCTGTGAAGTTGCATTGGATGGAGGAAGAAGATTACCCGGTTGCTTTCGTATATCTTGGACCCATTCACGTCTCACCTGTGCAAGCGTTGAAGGTTTCTTCGTACCTCCCAAGTTTTGCATCAAACTCATCCGTCATCGAAAAATGTGATGACTTGACCTCTTGTACGGCGTTTCGGGTCAATCCCTCAAATTTTACGAGTCTACTAAGCCGCTCATACCAGACTCTCAACACTTAGAGCTCTTTCAGGCGTTTGAGAAATTGAGCTAGTTCGTGGTCTTTTTCCACACGCAGCTTTAACGTGAGGGACAGTGTATTTACACTGCTTAAATGTTAACGAGAGCGCATATACGATGAACAATTATTAATAAATTGCCGTCACTCAACTGCAACAGTGTAGAGAGTACAACCTGTTGCCTCGTGATTCTCCCTTGGGGCTTTTTCCTTTAGCACTTGCATAAGAATCGTGGAAAATCATATCAAACTTGCCATCTTAACAGCCTAAAGACAATCAGAAAGAAGGTCCCTTCCATAATTTTTTTTAAAGGTGAAGCGGATGACAGAGGTAAACAGACACCTAGCCTTCACCCTCGCCGCCACCCGCCACGCCTTCATCCCCTCTTTGCAGTTTTAACCACTGGTACATGCAAAGACCATCGGGCCGTAAACTTAGGTTAAATTGGATCTACTTTGTTAACTCCTTTCACCTATGAGTCGTATCGTTAACGACCCGTTCACTTACGTAACGTCTTATGTTCGTTTTGCTTAAGAGGCGAGGCGAGCGCTGNAATGTGATGACTTGACCTCTGGTACGGCGTTTCGGGTCAATCCCTCAAATTTTACGAGTCTACTAAGCCGCTCATACCAGACTCTCAACACTTAGAGCTCTTTCAGGCGTTTGAGAAATTGAGCTAGTTCGTGGTCTTTTTCCACACGCAGCTTTAACGTGAGGGACAGTGTATTTACACTGCTTAAATGTTAACGAGAGCGCATATACGATGAACAATTATTAATAAATTGCCGTCACTCAACTGCAACAGTGTAGAGAGTACAACCTGTTGCCTCGTGATTCTCCCTTGGGGCTTTTTCCTTTAGCACTTGCATAAGAATCGTGGAAAATCATATCAAACTTGCCATCTTAACAGCCTAAAGACAATCAGAAAGAAGGTCCCTTCCATAATTTTTTTTAAAGGTGAAGCGGATGACAGAGGTAAACAGACACCTAGCCTTCACCCTCGCCGCCACCCGCCACGCCTTCATCCCCTCTTTGCAGTTTTAACCACTGGTACATGCAAAGACCATCGGGCCGTAAACTTAGGTTAAATTGGATCTACTTTGTTAACTCCTTTCACCTATGAGTCGTATCGTTAACGACCCGTTCACTTACGTAACGTCTTATGTTCGTTTTGCTTAAGAGGCGAGGCGAGCGCTGCGTATGTATATACCTCGTTCTCTCAGCTATGACACGAAAAAGTGCGATACACGCGTATATACCTTGTTCTTTCACCCAACACGTAAGCGAAACGACGTAAGACGTTAGCGAACAGGACTGCGAAACGACCGTAAAACATCTTAACATGCATGTCTGTCTCTTCAAAAGGTGAAAGAGTTGAGGTAATCCAAATGGACGGATATTTCAGTCGCTTTGTAATTAATAGTTATGAATTCATTCATCATCGTATACGGTATGCGACGCAAACCTTCGATTGGCGTCTCTCAGACTGGCGCTGTCCGAGTGTTTGTTGAGATAAAATTGTGACAATGAGAATTGTTAGATCGATGATAACCTCTTAAAAAAAAAAAGCTTTGCAACTTAGCAAAGTATTTCGCAACCACTTTGTATAGACGATAGTCGTTCAATTTCCGACTAGCAACAGAAAACACTAATCCATCTGTTACGTAGGGATCAACTGTATCATCTTGATAACGGGTTATTAAACTTACTGGATTATATCCTTCTTAATGAACAACCGAGAAAGATCCATCATTTAAACGGCCGACCTTCCAGTTTCTTCGGACACAGTTGCAGTTTCAAAATTGTAAGACAACTTCCTAAAAGGAATCTTTATCCTGTCAGATGAGGTGAGGGACGAGGTGGAGAGAAGGTTAAAAGCAAAATCAGATTGTTTGACCCTGAAGAGTGAATGAAGAGTGTTGTAAATTGGTTCTTACCATTCTTACTTTTGAGTCCGTAGACGAAACTCTTTGGCCATTTGAATGAAACCTCTTCTGAGCAGTACCTTTCTCATGGTACTATTTGTTAAATATGTAGTTCTAACTTTTGAGTCTGTGGATGAATTCCTATGATGTTACCATTCAAATGAAACGTCTTCAGCAGTACTTTCTCATGGTACTATTTGTTTAGTATGTAGTTCTAACTTTTGAGTCCGTGAACGAAACCTTTTGATGTGACTACTTAAATGAAACCTCTTTGGCTGCACTTTCACATGGTACCATTCGTTTTTCAGCATCTTAAAAAAATGAAATTTGAATTTTTTTTTGTCCAATTTTGACTTCGGCTGCTGCACTTGAGGGTGAAAGGGTTAAGTGCATCCTTTTTCACCTGTCCACGGTAGGTCTAGTCTCTGCTTCTTTATTATACTGAGACTTGTTCACTCATCTCTATACGAGTGTTGTTGTTTTTTTTTTCCAAGTCTTCTGGGTTATTTCGATGTAGTTAAAATTAAATTTCGACCCTGGTGGACAGAGAGCCTCCAGTGGCTCAGTGGCTAGAGCACAGGAACTAGAACTCGGAGGGTCGTGAATTTGATTCTCACCTGGGGCTCGGAGTTTTTCTGAGCTTTCTTGTGTAGAATTCTCCTATCTTCCAAATG